CAGGAAATACTAGGAGTTCTGAATAACAGGCTATACTCTGTGGAAAATGGATTATAATTAGCTACTTATCTATTGGTCGTCTCCGTGTAATGTGTTTCGACGGTTCAGATGAAATTCTTCACTTCTTTGGTGCATGGTGTCCCAGTTACACTCGTCAGTAAAATACGGTCCCGTTAGAAACAAAGAAAAACAAAATATTGGGGAAAGGAATACACTCCAAAGCCTATACCTCTGCAACTCATTAGTTAGGCAGCTCCTACTTGAGGATAACAATTCAGTTGGCAGTGATCGCCGGTCCACGATCGCGCCGTAAAACTGATACATGGACCTTTTCACATGCAAGTTGAGCAAATGTCAGCCCAGCTGTTGTTAATTTAGGGGGGGGGGTCAATACAGTCGTAATTTGCCACTACGTTGGGCGGAGATGGAGGCGGCGTTACCTCAGTTCGTGTTGGTCTGTCGAGTAGAGCACCGGATTTCATGTAGATCACGACATCGTAGACATTGGTGGCTATTTTGGTTATTCATTGTCCCTCTTTACCATCTACCACCTAGAAACATCATTTTCGAGCGCGACGTCGTACGCACGCTCACCAGTGCGGTTTTTCCCATTTCCCCGGACATGTGACAACACCGCGCTGGACGCGGAGTGCGACGTAACGGCTGCAAATCGCGATGTTTCTAGGTCGGATATGGCGGCACTTGGCAGTTATTGACACAAAATAGTCATTAATGTATACGATGTCGCGGCCTAGGTGAAACCCTGTGCTCCAGTTGACAGGCTAATGCTAATTAAGGAAGCGCCGCTGCCGTTGCTACACGCGACGCAGAGACAAATTACGATTGTCTTGACCTCCTTCCCTGAATCAGCTATAGCGATTTTTGCACCACATTTTGCTCGATGTTCTGCTTCCAACGAATTTAGAACTTGTCCAAGTGAACAAATTCAGGTAAACACCTTACTGTCTCGTGAGATGAAGACATTTGTCAAGATGGCGGCATGCTACCCTCATCGCATTAGCGAAGATATACGAGCGTCTGTTATGAAAGATTTCAAGATGTCTGAGAAGGTAGGAGTTTGGTCATTTCCGTTGAAAACAGCTGGGGACATCTTCATTTTAGATCCATGTGATGCTGCTGATTATGGAAGCCCGTCTGCAAGCGTCGATGTTATACTTCACTCGAGGTTTGACTAATCACTACTCGCGTGCGAAGAAATCCAGTCAGCCGAAACGTCTCGATTGATTTTTCTACATGATTATCATTATGCGTTGGTATTGAAGCTAAATGGTCCGGAAGGAGCTTCCGTAAGGGCCTCTTTTTTGAACCCTTTGCTTTCAATACCGACCTGTCCCGATAACATCATTCTGATCATGAAATCGATGCCATGCGTTGGTCTCTCAGATCACACCAAATCATAAGCCAAAGTTGTTTTCATCATGGCTTATCACAGTTAACGTCGTGTACAGAGCCCAATTCCACTAACCACCATGCTCTGCTGCCACTAATCATTAATTTGTCATGTGGCCTTGGTATCTCCAACTACTGCTATATCACGTTTCTCTTCTCATTCTTGATTGTTTTATAGCTTATATCAAGTTTGAAACGTTCACTGTATTCTCTCTTTCGTCTAACAGTACAATTCAATCCGTTCAATTACGCCAGAAACCTGCGTTTTTAGTCAGCACAGTGTAATCCGCGAACTGCTGTCGTAGTAGTGTCGTGTTCGTGTACAGTTTTTTATTTCACATTTTCCTCTTTTTTTTCTCTAACTTTTCCTGTGCTTCTTCCCCGTCTTCGTTGTCATATTGGCTGTGCTTCGTTTTGTACGGCATAATTCCTTCAGCTAGCTTTTACTGTCGTCCTAACCAACATCATTTTCTACCTAGTCTGTTTAGTTGGATATAAGAAAGAAGCGTAGTAGGGTACATGCTTGGTCTCGAACTCAAGCACATTTACTTCTAGCTATTGTCATCTAACACATTTAATCTGGCTAGTGCTAATGTAGTGATTTGAGAGTTCTTCCATTTGTAACCATGTTCGAAAGCCAATGGGTACAATGACTGGGGGCGGGCAGTTGCTGCCAACGTCATTGGTGGAGGAGCTGAGTGGGGCGTGGCCGAACACCCTCTCCCAACCTTTCCACCAATGATGTTGGCCGTAACCGCCCGCCCCCAGCTATTGTGCCTTTAATCAGTCTATCTATCTATTCATCGGTTTACCTTTCCTTGTGCACCCCCTCCAATCCGTTGTATCTGCCGTGTGTTTGTTTTGTGTGTGTGTGTACGTGTGCGTGTATTTCGCTTTGTAGCAAGACATCATAGACTGCCACAAGAAAGCAATTTAATTGTAGGCACTATGCGATACCGTATCGTTGTCGTGTGTGTGCTCGTTTGTATGTGAAATGTTGTGTAAATGCAGAATCTTAGCCTGATGTTCGATACCAGTTCTACTTTGGAGTCCTCAGGGGCGTATTTGTTCTTGTGATTCTCTGTTGATGTTTAGTGTTTTTTTTTGTAATGTTGTTAATTGAGATCATTGTTTTCCATTAATTTTTAGATTATTGAATTGCACGAAAGCAAATAAAACACGCTTTATACACAAGTCGTCGTTGCACATAAAATTATTTCATATAACTTTATTATCAATGAGTTGCTATCAGATTATTAACAGCAGACGGAAAGGCGCCAATGTAGGTGAGAGGCGGTGGAGCTGCTTGGAGTTAGTAGAGACTAGTTAGTTCCCTCTGCTTGAAAACTCCTTGAGAACTAGTCATCTACGCTCCAGGCCCAAAGCTGGTTAGAAAAAGAAAGGTTCAGTCAGTTCACCGCGGACGAAGAGTGTCAAGTTTGGCGCCGCGCCAAAACAGTTTTCTACCAACTGCTGAAGCGAGCAAGCGACAAGACTTCCAGATCATTCGTATCGTTTTCGGCCAATTGTTGCCGCTTGTGTGCTCCAACGACTGGTAGAGAACGGGTTTGGCAGCGGCCAAAACCATCCCTCCGAACACCCCATCATCCACACAGAAAGGCGGCTGCTCCCACAACTACGCTATCACCGATGTGAGCTAGTGTAGTGAAAAGGGCTATAGCGAGAACGGCTTACACCTATTTCTACTCGTCTGCGGCCTCCCATTGAGATAGTGTTCCTGGTAGCATCCAATTGGAGGCAGAGATGATGAACAAATAAGGGAGATGGGATAATCTCACCATTTGTCCTCCCACCTGCACTAGTGCCTAAACGGGTCGTACACTGAATACTCCTAGTTGATGACGAGATGCGTGAATTGAGACGCATGTGGCAAAGAAACGGCTAATCAACACAAAGGCACATCGCGCTTTTATAGTGTGGGCGGGGCCACTTGGACAGTCCTCTCATTGGTGCGTTACCCTTTTTGTCATCTTGGACCATCTACGGGTAGAGTGCACTTCAGAAGGGGCTCCTCTCATAGAACGAGCGCGGAATGCGCCTTTGATGCAGATCGTTCGATTCTACCACACATGCCTCCCAAGACGGTAGCCTGCAAGGTAGGCAACTAGGATAGTGGTCATTCTCGGCGAACGGCTGCCTTCTTGAGCACACTGTTCTTAAAAAGGGGAGTGCGAGCAGGAGAAGTAAAGATAAAGCGGTTTGAGTGAACATCCCCTACCTCTCCCTACTTGTACAGCACATACTCTTCATAATCCCTAGGTTGGGCGGGATGTGAGAGCGTACTCCTTTTGAACAAGGCACAGGATGCATTTTTTGTGAGCTATTTCCCTTTAAGACCGCTGTCATCCTGCCTTGTGCTAAAGAAATACATGATTGCAAGTGTCTCAGAAAGGCAATATCTCAACAAAAGCGCACTCACCGCCCAGTCCAAATGAAGTAAGCAGCCACGCCCTTTCCATATACGGGAGATAAGGTGCATATTTGCGGTGCGATTTCACGGGTCTCCACTTGATGGCCTGACAAGTCAGTGGGAAGTAAGAAAGTTACAAGATGCCTCCTCACATCTCCTCCGTTGCCGAACTGCGCCCTCCACCACCTGTACATCGAGAATGACCGTAAAGGATT